ATGAAGTCTGAGGCCTTGGCTGGGAGGCTGATGGCTCTGCATCTCCAGCCTGGCTGGCTAATCAGGTGCTGTATGTTCACGCGGTACACAGAACCCAGGAGAGCGTAACACCGTAAGTGCTTGCTCTCTCTGAGCTTATAGCGGTCTTCACAGGTTAACTGCATCCAAAAGGTACCTCTTCCTTGCTCTAGTGTAGTGGTGTGAATGAGATGTCACCCATGTTCTTGGCACGTCTGAATACTTGGCTCCTCATTGGTGACACTGTTTGAGTAGGGTTAGGAAGCGTGTCCTTGCTGGAAGAAGTATGCAATTGCAGGTGGACGTCGGAAAGCCACGTGCAGTTTTCAGTGACCTCTCTCTGCTTCCCATTTGAGGGCTGGAGATGCCAGCCCTCAGCTCTCAGCTTCAGGTCCAGTCGCCATACCTGCCTGTTGCTAGGTTTCCGGAAGTGATGGCGGACTCTGGATTCATAAACCCAAATAAACCCTTTCTTAGGCAAGTTGCTTTGGTGGCAGTGTTTTATCCCAGTAACAGTAACTTGACAACTAGTGATGGGGGTTGGGCTTTGATAGCAGACAGCTGGAAGGTAGGAAGAAGGCAGGCAGCTTTGAGCAGCAGAAAAGTCAGAAAGAAGTACGGACTGGAGGAGAAGATGGGGTTGGTGAAGTGACCATGTGATCACCCCGGGCCCCTTAGCTGGTTAGAGCCGCAGGCTGGGTCCTTTCCCTGCCAGGGCAACAGTGGGGAAGAGGCCATGTGCGGTTGTCATCGCTGAAGTAGCAGAGCGTAGCCGGCATCTGTGTTGGTCCCCACAGTGCCAGCAAGCCTAGCCAGTTTGGTGAGTGCCAGGTTCAGTTAAGAGACCCACCCTCCCCGTCTCAAACGATAAGGTAAGGGGCGATCAAAGGCCTCCAACATGCACACGCACTCACTGCTATCCACTTCTCACACTCCCTGGTCACGAGAGCTGGCGTTCTCCAGAGCCACAGTCACAGCGAGCAGGTGGGAACTGTGTGCCGGTGGCGAGCCAGCCGGAGGTGCTGTGCATAGCTGAGCAAGGGGAAGCCAGGTGACGGGGAGCAAGGCAAGCAAGAGCATCTAGAAGGATCCGGACGACGGGTGGGGCCCACAGCCGCTCCCACGACTGCCTCTCCAGCCAGCTCTTCAACCTCATCTAGGTTTTCCCTTTTCTTTGTCATTCGCTGAGCCCTTGTGAAAGCATGTTCCTAAGTGCCCGGGAGTGGGCCTGGCTGTGTGTCTCAGGGAGGGAGGCTGATGTGGGCTAGTGAGTGCCTCACAGCCTTACCGTGATCAGCTGACCTCTCTTTGCCGTTGTGAAGTCGGCGGGGTTGAAGCTCAAGGATGGACATTGTAGGTGGATAAATATTGTGGGGGTGGGGGAAGAGTCAGGGTGGCGGGGGAGAATCAGGTGCTGTGAGGTTGACATAGTGGCTAGGGCACAAGTGGGCGGGAGGGGATGTCAGGGAGGCGGGCAGCGGCAGATGGGTCACCATAGGTTTTGTTGGCTGTGGATTCCATCCCTAGGGCAGCGACAGGTCAGCAGGGCTGGGAGCAAGGGAGTGATATTCAGGCTGTGTTCAGAAGTCAGTAATGAACTCGATATTTCCCACGGTCTCTTTAGAAAAATTATTTTTGTTTTTGTGTCTCTGTGTATGTGCACATCTTTGCATTGCCTGTGGAGGCCAGAAGAGGGCGTCAGATCCCCCGGGGCTGGCGTTACAGGTGTTTGTGTCCTGACACGAGTGCTGGGAACTAAACCTGTCTCTGCAAGTGCAGTTTCTCCAGGCGCCTGCTCTGTGGTCTTGTATGTAAAGTGTGTAGAAACCATGGATGTGTGAGAGATCCTGGCAAACCCAGAGGGGGAGGTGGACATCCAGAGGTAGCATGGAGGTTCGGGGGGAGTGTCAGTGGAAGGTTCGGTGTTTCCTTAGTAGGAAGTGCCTGGTGAGTTGAACGGCATGTGAATTATCACAGTGAAATTGCTATTAAAAACTCGCCCCAGAGGTCAGCATGGCCCGCTGAGTCTTTCCACTGTCTCCGGTGCCACAGCTGCTGTGGGACTACCTCTGCCCCCTCTGCACCTGAGCACCCTCATCCCCAACTCCGGTTACCTCATGGCACCGGCAGCAGCTGCGGAGGGTGTCACGTTGTTGTCACCAGATCCTCATGTCCCCAAGGGCACGTCAGCTCTGAACAGTTCAACAGCTCTAGGTAATAGCTGGACATGACCTTTCAGTGGTCCTGTGACTTAAGCCTAGCTACTTCCCATGTCCTTGAACCCTGGCTTCTCTCTTCTCCCTCTCCCTTCCCTCCCTTCCTCCAAACCCTTATCTTCCCTTTCCTTTCTCATCTCACCTGTTTTTTTATTTTTTGTTTTTTGTTTGTTTTTCGAGACAGGGTTTCTCCGTGGCTTTGGAGGCTGTCCTGGAACTAGCGCTAGTAGACCAGGCTGGTCTCGAACTCACAGAGATCCACCTGCCTCTACCTCCCGAGTGCTGGGATTAAAGGCATGAGCCACCACGCCCGGCTCCTCACCTGTTTTTAATTCCCAAACATTTAAATTATTGCAACTGGCCCTATTTCTAAGTGCTTTGAGAATAATAGCCTCTTTATACATTTAATCATCCAGCTAACCCCATAAGGAACAGACTGTAAACCGTTTTGGTTTTCACGTGAGAAAAGGTCAGAGAGGTTAAGTAAGTTGCAGAAAGTCACAGAGCTGGGACACATACAGCCCGTAGAGCCCGCTGCCTCTCCCCAAGCTGATAAGACAGATACAACACTTCTGTCTGCCGTTACTTGACAGATGACATAGCTCAAGCCGTTCACCCCACATCTGCAGGGCTCAGCATGGAGCCCAATGAGTAAGTACTCAGCACAGAGGGTCTCTGCATTTCTGCACTCGCCTAAGCCCCCACCCCATATTCATTTCTTCCTTGAGGACCGCAGGCAAGGATTTGGTGCTTAGAGGAGGTCAGTGTCCTGCCTTAGCTGTGCCTCTGACTCCGCTGTCAACCTGACCAGCATCCCCTGGGGCCACCGCAAGGCTCCATGGGAGAGCCTGCGGGCAGGTGTGTTGGGAACTCTGCAGCCCCTATCCAGCAGGTTAGTGGAGCCCTCAGCCTGGGTATTTGGACCATGCCGTTTGACATGATGCTTGGGTTGGAAGAGGCTTAGCGGGTGGAGGTCTTCCCACGGAATTTCTGGTGGCAGGCAGTACATCCGGCATGTGTGGAACTTTCCACTGCACAGGACTGCCGGCAAGCAAGAAGTGAGGCTAATGCCCAGATTTGCTCCCCCAGGCCGCTATGCCAGTGTGCGGAGCTGCTTGTCCCTGATGCTATGAGCTTATTATGCGGGGGACTGGTGAATACTTCGTTTGATCCATCCTGAGATGACCAGTGACTATAGCTGTAGCCCTGTAGCCGCTGTTGAGGCTTCAGTTTGTTACTGTTAACTAGTTTTTAAATGTGAGTGTGTGTGTGTGTGTGTGTGTGTGTGTGTGTGTATGTGTGCGCGCGCGCTCGCGCTCCATAGCTCGTGTGCAGGCCAGAGGACAGTTTTGTGGGTGGAGTTGGTTCTCTCTTTCCACCTTTATGTGGGTTCTAGGGATGGACCTTGGGTGGCCAGGAAGTGTGGCGAGTGCTGTTACCCACTGCGCTAACCTGCCGGCCTTGTTCTTTAGACCTAATATAATCTGTAATTTGGGCACAATAAGCTATGCTAGAGGTACAAGGAGCACAACTGGATGCTTGGAACATTTATTTTTTTTTTTGTCTCCTCCACGCTACTCCTTCCCTGCCCCTGTCCCCCACCGTGGTCCAAGCACAGCAGACTTGGATGCAGCGGTTTGTTCTGACTCCTGACAGCAGAGTTGGATGCAGGGGTTTGTTCTGACTCCTGACAGCAGCTAACCTCCAGCGCTCCTGATTCTCTACCTGAGCATCCTGCTGTGCTCCACCCATGTCCACAATTCTGAGATCTAAAATTCATAGCCATGAGATACACGTTTACAGAGGCATTCACACGCATGTACATGCACGTGCCAGGAGACATACTGGTCAGGGCTGTGTCCCCGGGCGCCCCCCCCCCCCCCCCCATGCACTCTGTGTTATCTTTGGAGTTATCATGTGTCGTGATGAGGGCTGAAGAAAGAGGACTCACGGCTTTTTATGCTGCACGTTCGTTGCTTATGGAATCTGAATTCTCATCCACTCTTTAGGCCATTGGCACTTTAGTTGACTGATTTGCATGTTGGTTCTCTTTAGTCACTCAGATAAGCATACATTTCTTAGCTAAACCCACAAATGATTTCAGATGGTGTCCGCTTCTGTCCTTTCTCCTGTCTCACTTTGGGCTCTCTTTCCTCCATGACCGACATAGAGGATGCTGGCAGAGAGGAAGGTGCTGGGAGAGAGAAGGGTGTTGGAGAATTGGGGTGCTTGGAGGTGGGGGACAGGTCCTTCCATATTGTGGCAGGTTGTGCTGAATCTACTTGGGTGGAGCAGACTAGGTACGAGAGGCCGCCTCTTTGCTGCCAGTCTCTGTGTAAATGTACAGGAGGGCCATTAGCCACAGGTCAGAAACCTTAGTGCAGGCAGATCCTTGAGTATGTATAGTTCTGGGTGACGGGAATCCTGAGCTAAGGCTTTTGTCCTTGAAATTCTCCTGCGTGGATGGATGCATTTGCTAGTGTCGTATTTTCTTCAAGTACATTGTCTTCCATAGCGAATCCCAAAGAGTGATTGCCTCTGCTGCTGTCTCCAGAGTGACATTAGCCTTGGAGGGCGTGGCTTACCAGTGTGAAACGTACTTTGCTTTGGGGACAAAATGTCTTGGTACTTGCTCTTCCTGCATTTGACCTCTTTCTTGTAAGTTCCAGCGGTCGGCTACATGCTGTGTTTTTAGGGATTCTTCCTTGGCATACAAACTGGCTTTTACTAAATGGCTGTGGCTCCAAACTTTTTTTTTTTGGCCAGTTCTGTCAGAATTAAGTTTTAGTTCTTGTCTGTATCATTCAACCGTTGAACAGTTTTAATGCATCATCTGAATGCAAACTTTTTGTCTCATTGTTAGCCTTACTTTTTTTCCTGCATCCCAACTTGGTATCCTCAGAAATGACTTGCACTGTTCCTTTGCTTCAGAAATCTGGTGGCTCTTCATTGAGCTTCCAGGGCTAGATCTCCAGCTTCTGCTTGGGGAGGGGGTGGAGTGGACGGATGGAGGGCATGGCAGCCTGGTTGACAGCCTTCAGCTCATGCAGCTGTGACTCAGTTAGAAATCCTGGCTCCTCTAACAAGTTTTTAGGTGGTTTTTTTTTTTTTTTCCCTGAAGACTAAGATCATTCGTTTGCTGATTATTGTATTAGCTCTGAGGATGTTTGGAATTTAAGGTTAGGGTGATCTCTTTCCTCTTTCCACAGAAGTGAAGTTTATCTGTCTGTACGGTTCACCTGTCTCATGGAAGCATTCACGGACTTGAACGAATCCCCAGAGGTTTTAACCCATTGTGTAGACCTGGTGTCTGGTCCCGGTGTCCTTTCTTGAGTAGCTTTAGTCAGAAATCTCTCAGGGGGACTGGTCAGACCAGAGCTGCAACTGGTAGCCGGTGAGGATGTTGGCTTAATGTATGCTTTTGGATCTGCAGGTGAGGTGCCAGGAGCTGGGACACACCCTGTCACTCAGGCAATGTGGCGTTCAGCCTGGATGGCAAGTCAGGCTAATTTTGTGAGATAGCCAAGGGCACAGGGGCACTTTCATTAGGGAGGTAGAAAATGCATAGACCATGAAAACCATGTAGATCCATGACTGTACACACCTGTCAAGCCCGCCAAACTGTATATTGAATATTGGCAAATGTTATTGTGCACGAATTACGCTTCAGTAGATAACTTTAGGCAAATAACAAAAAATTAAAGGGAATCTTCTGGAACACGTTCAGATGTTTAAAAATTCATTGTAATCATAGAAAAGCGATTTTTTCAGATGAATCAAAAGAAGTTGAAATTTATTAGGTTCACTTAATTTCAGATAGACTGGCTGGGTCTGTTTTCCTGCCTGCTTGGTGTGTCACCACCGTGAATGTGTCACTGCTGGGAGCTGCCGCCAAGTGGACTTTCTCTACAAAGGGCCAGGCAGTGAGGAGTTCAGGCTCCCAGGCTCAGCCTGACCTTGGCACACCCACTCTGCTCTGCTGCTATGCAGGCACAGCCAGAGTCAACCTGTGAAGGGAAGCATGGTGGCGTTCCACTCACACGTCACATAAGGGACAGGCTTATACCGGGCTTGGCTTTGGGATCTGTTTGCTGAGCCATGGGGGTGCCATTGGGACTTTTGGGGAAACCCACTGAAAATGTATATTCTTGAGAGCACACTTGTCGGGAGAGTGGATTGAAGGTAGGATCGCAGAGAAATTTCAGGGTGCCATGCTTACCCGAGGGACTCGGCTGTGTGAAGAATGGGATGAGCTTGCTCAGAGGGACTTCGAGAGACCTGTGAAGAGGAAGGAGGGACTGACTACAGCACTTGCTTCTAGATTCCTGTAGAAACCCGGGCAAGGGGTTCTTGCCTTATGACGGTTCTGATGGAAAGGAGCGGGCAAGGCTGTGTTGGCTTCTGTTCTGTAACGAGCTATCTGAGAGAACCAGCTTCAGAAGAGGAGGTGGTTATGTCGGCTCACAGTTCTGAAGGTTTTGCTCCTTTGCTGGTTGGTCTATTGCTTTTGGGCCCTCAGTACGGCAGCACAGCGTGGCAGAGTATGTTGTAGCTGAGGAGGCTGTACACCTCTTGTCAACTGGGAAGCGAACCAAATAGTCCCTTCATGGGCGCATCCTGAGTGGCTCACCTTTCTCCCTCTGGGTCCCACCTCCAAAAGGTTCTCAACAGTGTAGGGTAGGAACCAAGACTTTTAGCATAGAGGCCTTTGGGGAACACATACCCAAGCCGTGCGAATGATGAGAGATGCTCAGCAGATATAGGCGACAGAATGCAGAGATGGACCCTTGAGAGTGAACAGCAGGGGAGATGGTTTCAAGATTTTAGCCTCAAAGTAATTAACCCAAAGGGAAGGTGAAGAGACCTGGATGAGGGATTTCAAGTATGTGTGTTTTGAGCTTCAGAGTGAGAGAGGCAGTGGCCTTCTACACACATGTGAATCACGCTTGATTGTGTGCACACGGCCACAGTAAGAAGTAGACATTTAGGGGCTGCAGAGATGTCAGCATCTGAGAGTCCTTAATGCTTCCAGTGGACCCGGGTTCGATCCCTGGTACCCACATGGTGGCTAGTAGCTATCTGTCACTCTAGTCCCAGGGAGTTTGGCTCCCTCTTCTAACTGTGTGGGCACCAGGCACACGTGTGCATTTACATACATGCAGGCAAAATGCTCATACATGCAAATAAAAATAGAGGTAATCTATAAGTAATGCACATGAATGCTGCACTACCAGGCACATTATGTTATTTAAGAAATAAACATTTCCAGAAGACAAGATAAAGTTTTAAAAATATTTTTAAAACCAGAAAGCATGTATATCAGTGACTTTTCTTTTATTAGATTTATTTTTATTATTTTAATTATGTATATGTGTGTGAGTGTGTGTGTGTGTGCGCACGCACACATGAATGCATATGTCCACAGATGTCTGAGGGCATCTAATGTCATACCCCTGAAGCTGGGGTTACAGGCAATTGTGAGCCACCTGATATGGGTACTGGAATTAGAACTGGAACTCACGTCCTCAGGAAGAGCAGTGCATGCTTGTAACCACTGAGCCATCTCTCCAGCCCCATAAATGACTTTTCTATTGCTGTGCTAAAACACTATTGCCAAGGAACCTCCTAGAAGGGAGGGTTTATTTGGCTTATGGTTCCAAAGGGTTAGAGTCACCGTGGCAGGGAGACAGCAGGTGTGACAGCTGGAGCAGCTGGAACTGAAGCAGGGGACAGAGGGTGAACTAGAAATGGCGTGTGTCCTAACACTCTCTAAGCCAACCTCCAGTGGCATACTTCCTCCAACCAGGCCACTCCGCCAACTGGGTACCAAGCATTCAGATGCTGGAAACATGTATATGTGTATGCGTCTGTATTTGGGTAGGTATGTGCATGCCATGGAATTCAGAAGGTAACTTGTTATGTAATCAGTTCTGCCCTGTCACTGTTTGGGATTGAACTCATGTCCTAAGGCTTGGTGACGAATGCCTTTATCCACTGAGCAGCCTTGTTGGCCCAAATTTGATATTTTTTAATAGCTTGCTTTATATTAACTTTGGCATATAGCCACAACTTGTAAGAATCTCTTAGGACTTGGTGTGACAAAAACTAGTTGTGTTGTAAGTAGGTAACAAGCATTATAATGGGCTGGGAGGAAGCTAGGGAGTTTAACCCCTTTCTTTCTCAGTATAGGGATGCTTTTTGGGTCCCTATGATCTCAAGCAGACACAAACCTTGCACACCCAGTGAGCGTGCCAGAGTTGGGTCACATTAGTAAAGCTGTAGCTCTTTCTGATGATTTTGGATCATGAAACTATAAGTAACATTCTTGTGTTTTCTTAATCCGTCACATGGAAAACCTAGTCTTCCCTGCAGAGCAGGAGATAGAGTTTAAGTCCTTGCTGGTTGACAAGGACCTGTCCTGCACTCCCTACCCCACCCTACCCCCACCCCATCCCACCCCACTCTACCCCACCCCACTCTACCCCACCCCACTCTACCCCACCCCACTCTACCCCACCCCACTCTACCCCACCCCACTCTACCCCACCCCACTCTACCCCACCCCACTCTACCCCACCCCACTCCACCCCACCCCCTATTTTGCACACCACCTCCAAGAAGAGGCTATGTGGTCTGAGGCTGAGATACTGTAAAGTTTAATAAATGGCAGGGAGGCCTGTATGGACACAGACCAGCAGGGTACCAGGCAGAGAAAGGGGCAGAAGAGGGACTGTCATAGGTGCCGAGAAGGTCAGGGAGAGAACATGCCAACATGGGAACAGATGGGTGACAGAGACAGACAGGAGAGATGAGTCGTTTTTGTTATGACAAAGACTGTAGATTATCCATGGCATTTGACAATTGGTGGGTCCTTGGAAATGACCTTATTTATTCATTTATTTATACATTTATTTATTTACCCATCTGTCCATCTGTCTGTCCATCCGTCTGTCCATCCATCCATCCATCCATCCATCCATCCATCCATCCATCCATCCATCCATCCATCCATCCATCCACCCACCCACTAGCTTTAATGTGTGACTTTAGCCAGCAGAAGGCTAGGGCAGGGCCTAATTAGGAGCAAGTGAGTGTAGTGTTTTTTTTTTTTTTTTTAATTTACTTGTTTTGAAGTTGCTTGTTTTTGAAGAGGAGACTACGGAAGCCTTTGAAGAGGAAAGATTGAAAAGCTAGGATTGGTGCACATCACTGTAGCTTCTGGAGGAAGCAGAAGGGATTGGCTTTGACCCTCGAGCTCTGAGTGAGAAGATGGAAATATATAAGCTTTGGACGAAACTAACACATGGAAACATTTCTTTAAGAAAAGCTTCTAAATCAAATGGGAAGCAACATTCATGCATAAGTGGGATATGTCTTCCAAATGGGATACCATTCAGCCATAAGATGGATGGAACACTGCCCTTCCAGACCCCACTGAGTGCTCTGTGCGCTTCTGGAGCAAGCTACAAACAAGAGAAGTCTCTGTGTGTGGTGTCCACGTGCTGATGTGAATCACAGAGTATTTTTATACGATACCAACTACAAGCTTCCAAATTTGGGGATACCTTATGGATACGGTCATCACATAGGCTGTTAAGACACACACTCCCCTGTCTAACTTTATTCTGGAGGGGACCACCTAAGCATTTGACAGTGTCAGTGTCTTGGCAGCAGCTTCATTCACAACTCGGAAAGTTGAAGACTCAAATAAATCATGGTGTTTTTTTTTTCAATTTAACAAAATTTACAGAGTATCATTTATGTGTTAAGCTCTTTCTAAACATTGGCATCTAGTTTTCATCATAGTTATGCTGTGGGGAGTGTTAGTCCCTTACAGAT